CCTTTCTAAGTGCCTTTATTTCTCTATTTGGCTTCTGTCTAGATGATCTGTCCTTTGGTGAGAGTGGGGTGTTAAACTCTCCCACTATTAAGGTGTTAGGATTGATTTGTGATTTAAGCTTTAATAATGTTTCCTTTACAAATGTAGGTGCTCTTGTATTTGGGGTATAGATGTTCAGAATTGTGATGTCCTCTTGGTGGATTTTTCCTTTGATGAGAATGTAGTGCCCCTCCTCATCTTTTTTGATTAATTTGGTTGAAAGTTTATTTTATTAGATATTAGGATACTATATTAGATATTAGCTACTCCAGCATGTTTTCTGGGTCCATTTGTTCTGAAAAACATTTTTTAACAATCATTATTACAGCACAACCAGAACTTGCTTTGTAGTACTACGTTTTAGTCTAAGATATAGTTTTCAGTTTTAAGATATAGTCACAATTTAAGATAAACATAGCATTGGGATAAGATGGAACTTTGTGGGAGCATCACAATGTAAGACTATGTTGAAATATGCCAAATATGCCATATTTTTAAATATGGAGTGATATTTAAAACAGTCTGAATGTTCAACATTTAATGCAGAAACTGAATCTGGAAGTAGAATTAAGTATGCCTATAGAGATTAAAATGTATACATTGTCAAAGAATAGAACACTCTGGATAGAAGGTGCATCATTCACTAAGGCTACAGGTAAGAAATATTCAATTACTCACTTGAAATATAGATCAGGTAGAGTTTTTACCATTTGTCACATACTTTCTATGCATTAATTTATCATTCCTTATTTTTACTTAACATGTGAGAGTGAAATCATTTCTGATATGGTAGAAATAAAGGGATAAAGAAGGAATTAAATAAGTGCCCATTGTTGCAGCAAAGAAATGATAGTGAGGATTTGAATATTGATAGTCCCACTCAAGAATGTGCTGTCAACCACTCTCCTTCCCAGCTTTTTAAAAAATGAATGAATGAATTTTTATTTATTATAGTTTTTTCACTTTGTATCCCAGCTGTAGTCCACTCCCTCATCCCCTCCCAATCCTGCCCTCCTTCCCTCATCTCCTCCCTTGCACCTCCCCTAGTCTATTGATAGGAGAGGTCCTCCTCCCTTTCATCTGATTCTAGCCTATTAGGACTCATCAAGGCTGGCTGTATTGTCTTCCTGTATGGCCTGGTAAGGCTGCTTGCTTCCCCTTCAGAGGGAGGTGATCAAAGAGCGAGCCACTGAGTTCAAGTCAGGGATAGTCCCTGTTCCCCTTAATAGGTGACCCACTTGGAGATTGATCTGCCATGGGCTACATCTGTGCAGGGGTTCTAGGTTATCTTCATGCGTGGTCCTTGGTTGGAGTATCAGTCTTAGAAAAGAACCCTGGGCCCAGATTTCTTGGTTCTGTTGCTCTCCCTGTAGAGCTCCTGTCCCCTCCAGGTCTTTCTATCTCCCTCTTCTTTCATAAGATTTCCTGCACTCTGCCCAAAGTTTGACTATGAGTCTCAGCATCTGTTTTGATATCCTGCTGGGTAGAGTCTTTCAGAGGCCCTCTGTGGTGGCTCCTGTTCTGTTCCCTGGTTTCTTCCTCTTTGATGTTCATCCCGTTTGCCTTTCTGAATGAGGACTGATCATCTTACCCAGAGTCCTCCTTCTTGCTTAGCTTCATAGTACTACCTCAAGATCCAGCTATACCACTCCTAGGCATATATCCAAAATATGCTCAAGTATACAACAAGGACATATATACGCAACCATGTTCATAGAAGCTTTATTCATAATAGTCAGAATCTGGAAACATACCAGATGTCCATCAACTGAGAAATGGATACAGAAACTGTGGCACATTTATACAATGGAATACTACTCAGCAATTAAAAACAAGGAAATCATGAAATTAGCATGCAAATAGTGGAATGATCATCCTTAGTGAGGTACCCCAGAAACAGAAAGACACACATAGTATATACTCACTTATAAGTGGATATTAAACAAATAATATAGGATAAACATACTAAAATCTGTATACCTTCTCAGCCTTAATTCTCCAGAACTCCTGGGAAAGGCCAAGTCCTAAGGAATTCTTTTAAAGAACCAAAACAGAATGTTTGAATACAAGGATAGTTCAGATCAGTCCTTTTAAAACTTACTCGTTTGTTTAAAGTGGACTGGAGAGGGTCAGAGTCAGTAAGGAAGCATATGTAATAATTCTGACAAGTACTAATGGTGGCCTAACTAAGGCAATAACTGACGGGATTAGAAGACAGACACATGCTTGATAGAAAGAGAAGTAATTGCGTGTGGTGATTGATGAAGGAGAGTAATGGAGAGTCTGCCTATTTTGTGGTATGGGCATGTTTCGAACACTAAATAGTTTAGAGTTTGAACATTATTGTTTCAGTATTGTACAGTTAAATTTGAGTTTTTTTGTGGACATACTCAAAGAAGAAATATTTGAATCTCGTATTCACAGTAGACACTGGACAAATCATGAGAGTGTATTGGTCTTCACAGCTATTAATGAAGCTAGAACAATGATCTTACGGTGTATCTCTGGCAAATATTTAATAAAATAATGAAGAAGATATTCTGAAAGAAAGACATCAAGAGTGAAGAGTTTGAGAAGCGAATGGAAAACAGTAGAATAACATTGAATTCTTGAGTGTTAAATTCTTAATTTTCCAATTTAGAATATGATTGAACAGATAGTACCAGATTGTAACCAGTGTTTGCTATTTTGTGTGTTCCTTTTTCTCTCTTCCACCCTTATGAACCTCATAACACTAGTTAGGAAAAAAAAATAAAGGATAGAGAGGAAAGAAAGGGGGCAGTGTTATTGTTAGACTACTACCTGCTGATTAGGGGTGTCAAGTTCCTTGGGACAAATTTGATCTTTGTCAAAATATCTAATTTCTTATTTCTCATTTCTTTTACCAAGACTACTTGACAAACCACAACCAACAGCATCTGACCACCAACCACCCAACAACAGCAGCAACAGCAACCCTGACTCTTAGGGCCCTAGCATATGTATATTCTCTGAAAAGTTCCCAGAATTCCAAATGTCTCACATTCACAGAAGCTATCTGCAGCCGCAAAATCAGGCCTGCACAAAGCAAATCATAGCCACCTGCTGTGAAGCAGTCCCGTATCCCCACACCTGGGATTAAAATGAAAATATTTCCGTAATATTTTTGTGTTTTTAAAGAAATCAAAATTGCAAAATTCTTACTACACCAGATAATAATAATAGTCATTATTTTAACTCCTATCAAAACTTTTAAAATTTACATTTGCTTTGGATGTTACTAAGAACTTTCTTTAAATGTTTTATTTTAGAAAATATAATTTTATAAATATTGTCAAAAAACCAATATTTTCATATTCTCCTCATGTGTATTCATCAATTAATATTTCTGTTATTCCTTTGTACATATAGTTTTTCATCTCTCATTTTGCTTTTGTTGAGCCATTTGAGACTTACTTTTAGACATAATAATACATTACACTTAAGTAGGTCTCCAAAAGTAAGTTTTCACTTACACAGCCAAAATAGAAGTTCAGGAAATGTAATATTGATTCCATAGTGTTCTATAATCAGATTTCCTCTACTGACCTAATAGTGTCTTCTGTTTCCTAGCTGCTGCCCCCTAGTTTCTAAAGAACCATCATAAGCCTCCTTATAGATTTGCTTATAAGTTTGCTGCATATATTCATGTTTGGAGTTTTTGTTCTAATAAGACAGAAAACAGAAAAATAAAAGACCATAAAAAAGACCATAAAAGGATGTCTTATGGAATATAGGTAATAAAAAAGCATCATATTGATTATAATATTTTTTTCTGCCCAGAAGAAAAAGGAAACTGCCACAAATGAACTGTTTTAGGTTAAGAAAACAACATTTAGTATTTTTTGCTGTTCTGTTTGTTGAGCATCATGATAAGAACTTTACATCCTCATGACAACAAAAGAGATGAAATGATTTAAGAGATAGTAAATAGCTTTTTCATACTAAAGTAGGAATTATAATCAAACCTAGGCCAATCTGATTTCAGATTATTAATTATTTATCTGCCATTTGTTATGTATTGATAGCTTATAAAGTGCAAAGAGAAAATTTTCTTTTTTTAATTTTTATTTTTTTAATATTAGTTATAGTTTGTTAACTTTGTATCCCTGCTGTATCCCACTCCCTCTTTCCTTCCCAATCCCATCCTCTCACCCTCATCTCCTCCCTGCCCCTTTCCAAGTCCACTGAAAAGGAAGAACCTCCTCCCCTTCCATATGATACTGGTTTATCAGGTATCTTCAGGACTGGCTGCAAAGTCCTCCTCTATGGCCTAGCAAGGCTGCTTCTCCCTGAGGTGGGGGGGAAGGTCAAAGAGCCCGCCATTGAGTTCATGTCAGAAACAGTCCCTGTTCCCCTTATTAGGGTACCCACTTGGATACTGAGATACCAAGGGCTACATCTGAGCAGGGGCTCTAGGTTGCATCCATACATGGTCCTTGTTTGGAGAAATGGTCTCATAAAAGACCCCTGTGCCCAGATATATTTGGTCCTTGTGGAACTCCTGTCCTCTCCAGATCATTTTAACCCCACCCCCTTTGTTTTTGGTTCCCTGCATTCTGCCAGAGGTTTGGTTATGAGTCTTAGCATCTGCTTTGATACACTGCTAGGTAGAGTCTTTCAGAGGCCCTCTGTGGTAGGCTCCTGTCCTATTACTTGTTTGCTCCTACATCCAATGTCCATCCCATTTGTCTTTCTAAGTGAGGATGGGTGTCAGGATGGCCAAGTGATCTAAGGCACCAGACTCAAGGTGGTAAAGTATTTTCTTATTTGTGTCCCAGTGTGATATGAAGTGTTTACTAGTCTTTAGTAGTTAAATGTTCTCTATTGGAAAGGATTTAGAATTAAAATCAACAAGCTAAATATGGGATTAAAATTTGAATTACTTTTGAGTTACATCATCTTATTATTTATTTATTTATTTATTTATTTTACTGTTTTAGTTGGCTCTTCGAAATGAGGAGGCAGAAAATGAAAACAGCAAGTTAAGAAGAGAGGTTAGTAGAGACTTTCCGATTTTGTGGTGGTTTAACAAAGACTTACTTGTTTAAAATGTTTACTTAGTAGATTGTAATCTGTATAACTGATAGTAGTTATACTAGCTCATTTTATGATGACTTTGCTCAGGGAATTCCAAAGTCAACCAAAATATTAAGCCATTAGGTATTTCACCTCTCCCATAGATCCGTGTGGTAAATCTTGCTTCCTGTTACATAGCCATCTTACTAATTGAGCAGTTGAGTCGATGTCTTTTCTCACAGCTGTTTGTTCAGCATTCTCGTAATTTTGTTACTTATAAAATCTTTATAAGTTGTATTACTTTTATGCATTAAATAATAATTTTCTGTCTGATAACAAAAATATTTTAATTAAAATATGATCATAAAATTTTTTTTCATCCCTGTTCTTTCTCATAGCCTCTCCTACTGTGTCCTCTTGTTTAACTTTTTTTAACCTAGTTAAAATGTTCTTTTTTTTGGTTCCTTATAATTTTATTTATTTTGGCTAATTTAAATAATATATTCAGTTGTCCTAAAATGTTCTTTATTCTTGTTCCCCTTGATTTATAAATGTTAGTTTTAATTTGTGTTGCTTTTTTTCATTTCTAACTATCCTTTTCCTGTCCTTTCCTGAAGAACAAACGTCTAAAGAAAAAGGTGAGGCTGTAAGGGTAGTAGAACACTGGGAGTTTAGAGAGATGCTCTGGGAGACCTAGTTAACAGGTAGAATTTTGTCCTTCTCAGTAGTGTTATCCTGTTGTTTTTTCCTGTTTGGTTCTGGAATGTGTTATTAATGGGCAACTATTGTGTTTGCTCTAACCTGCTCTAACCTCAGAATGAACAGCTTCGTCAGGACATTGTGGACTACCAGAAACAAATAGATTCACAAAAAGAGTCCCTTTTGTCAAGGAGAGGAGAGGATAGTGACTACCGATCACAGCTGTCTAAAAAGAACTATGAACTTGTTCAATATCTGGATGAAATTCAGGTAAAATGAGTAAGTCAGTTCAAAACAATGGTTTTAGAAACTTTATTACCAGGCTGGTAATCTACTATTTATCCCTCTTTGTTGTTTTTTGATTATGTATTTGCCACTGTGTATTTTTTTATAAATTAATTTTTTTATAAATTACAGTTTATTCACTTTATATCTCAGATGTAGCTCCTCCCTTATCCCCTCCCTATCAGACCCTCCCTCCCTCATCTCTTCCCATGCTTCTCCCCAAGTCCAATGATAGGGGAGATCTTCCTCCCCTTCCATCTGACCATAGTCTATCAGGTCTCATCAGGACTGGTTGCATTATCTTCCTCTGTGGCCTGTTAAAGCTGCTCCCCCATCAGGAGGAGGTGATCAAAGAGCCAGCCACTGAGTGTTTTAGGTGTTTTTTTAGTGTGTGTATAATGCTGTCTGTGCATTTGTATGTGTGAGTAGGTGCCAGCATGTGGGATGAGATCAGAGGATAGCCTCTGGTATTTGTTGTCAGCTTCTGCCTCATTTGAGGTAGGATCCCTCTGTTGTTCACCTCTCTGTATTCCAACTGTCTAGCTCACAATTCCAATGAGTCACCTGTTTTCTCTCTCCCATCTTATAGTAGGAGCACTGGGAATAAAGATGAGCTATGCTCAATCTGATTTTATGTGCATTTGCATGTTCACACTGCAAATATTTTAGTCACTGACACATCTCTCTGGCTATACCATGTTCTATTAAAACAAAAAACAAATTGTTTCTTTGAGTTTTCAATTATTTATTTACTCTTTATATTTGTCTATCTTGGGCACCAAGAACAATTGAGATTTGCCTTAATTGGCCAATGTCATGGTATTAATGGTTTATAAAGAATCTTTTTTTTTTTTCCTCGAGAAGCCCTATGGCTCTATTTAATTACAGTTTAGTATAAATTTCAGTTTCTTGTAAAAGTATTTTAAAGCAATAGTATATTTAACATTTTTAGACCTTAACAGAAGCTAATGAGAAAATTGAAGTTCAGAACCAAGAAATGAGGAAAAACCTAGAAGAGTCTGTCCAGGAGATGGAGAAGATGACTGATGAATATAACAGGATGAAAGCCATTGTGCATCAAACAGATAGCATTATGGACCAGATTAAAAAAGAGAATGAGCACTATCGACTTCAAGTAAGAGTTACTGTTGAAACCAAGCCTTGTTCTCATAAGCTTCATGTGATTTCATTGCTGTGCATTTGAAACTAGAAATAGTTTAATTTTCTAGAATGTTGATTTTGTTGCTTATCTTAATATAGTAATATGTTGTCATCCTCATAATAGTTGTCCACAAGGGCTCTTTAATTGTCTCACATGCACCTGCAATTCTTGCTATTTGAGAAATGTAAATAATGCTCAAGTGAGTGTAGATAGAACTGCTATAAATAATTTTAGGGCTATGCAGATTTTTAAAAAAATCTAGTGGCTACAATATTTAATTTTACTTCTTAAAAAACTGAGAATATATCCAAAAATCAATATTTGTTTATTATTTATATGGGATAAACGTGTTTTAGAAGTAATATAATGTTTAATAATATGATTGTTTACTAATAAAATAATTATACCACAGTATGTAATTTATCTGAAATGCTTGTCATCAAAAATGTTTTATATTGTGAATTTTTTTAGATTTTGGAAGTAATATAGATTACATATATGCATGAGCTATCTCGGGGATAAATTAAAGGTCTAAACACTAGATTCATATGTGCTTCATATGCCCTTGATATGTATATGATGAATATAGTATTTATATACCTGTCTTTTAACTAAAATATAGCACAGGAAATGCGATATAAAATATTGTACTTGAGGCAGCATAAAAAGTGTCCATTTTGAAGTGTTTCAGATTTTAAAGTTACATTTAGGACAGCCATTAAATGTCACCTTTATCTATAAGACTATACCAGTAATGAATCGTGTATGTAATATAATCTATCTGCAAGCATATATTAGTGTATAAATAAATTGCTTTTGTAATAACACTAAATTCCACTGGTTTGCACTATGCTGCGAACTAATTGCTACCCTTAGGTGCGAGAGCTTACAGATCTTCTGAAAGCAAAGGATGAAGAGGATGATCCCGTCATGATGGCTGTCAATGCAAAAGTAGAAGAATGGAAGGTACTTTCTCAATTGATAGAACTTTTTCTCATTTTGTATTTTGATTTAACTTCAATTTTGATTCTTAAAGATTTACATCAGATAATAACATTTTTGTTAAGTTTATTACATGTCCTGGCTATAAAAGCTTTAAAACATCTATAAGTAGTCCTTGAGCTCATTTATTAACAAGCACTTTCAAGGTAAGATTAATCAGGAATAAAATTAGGGAAAAGATTTTAATAAATCATTTGGAAGCCTTTTCAGAGTACCCCTTTTCTGTGCCTGATTTCTAAGTTCCAATCTCATCTAATTTCAGATCCAATCCCTTCCAAGAAGCTAGGCTTATGATGATTGCTATTTGTGAATGAACTGAGATGACTGAATTAGTAATTCTTAGGGTAAAACCTGTTACTTCCGGTGTCTCCACTTCTGGTCATGCCCACATAGACCTTGTTGTCAGTTAGAAATTGTTTACTATCTGGAAAGGTCAGATTATCTATTTAAACAAATGTAGTTGTGATGGGGATGAAGCTGAATGGATCATGAAAGGATCAGTTAATTTGTGAAGATCGAGAAAGTTAATGTTTTAGCTATCCCGTCAATATTGTAACCACTGGGCTGCTGTTTCCCTTGTAAACAGCAACAGCCAGTCCATGAATGACTAAATATGACTGCTTTTCAGTTCCTTACAGCAAACATGTAACAAGTCAGATTTTTTTTCAACTGTAGAATGTGATTTTCAACCTTTGGAAAAAAACAGTTGTTTGAATCGCATTTGATTATTTAAGTTTTGTATAATGAATTAGTCCCCTAGAAAGTTTCTAGTTTTTATTTTGAAAGCAGTGTTTTAATGAGAAGTTTTAGATATATATTATATTGCAGATATAGAAATATTTTGGTAAAATCAATTGCTACAAGTATGATTGTGAACTAAATTGCAAATACATCCCTCTAGTCTGTTATTTACCTTTTGATTCTCATAATTTTTGATATGAAGTGCTTATTTTTGTATTGCATAATTAAGCTTATTATATTCTAATGGTTTTTGACCTTCATTATAATTAGAGATTCCTGATATTGCTAGGTTGGAGGGAATCTGCCTAATCCTATTATTCAGAACGTGGAGGGTCCTGAATTCAAGCCCAGTGTAGACTTCTGAGTAGGGAGACAATATCTCCAGATAAACAAACAAAGAAATACAAATAAAGAAATAAATAATACGCCAATAAATAAATCAGCTAATACACTTTGAAAAAGGAAAAACAAAAGGAAAACTTTTTTCACTTAATTCTTAGTATCTTCTGGTTTTATATTTATTTTAAATATTTGAAGCATGTATATAAAAAAACAGTAATGGTGCAGCACAATGACTTTTATTCAAGCAATGTTTACTGAATAGTTCATCCTTCTCATACTTAATACTGATATACTTTTACTACATAAAATTTGTGTTGAATTTGAGTATTTCTGTACTCCCCTTTTTAAATTTGCTTGAGCTGTTTTCTAGCTACATACGCTTTCAACTGTTGCATGTCTAAATATCTAAAACCTTTTCTCAGTATTTTTGTTTTGTTATTTAGACTCTTATGAACAATTTTTTGTGATTTTAATAAACATCTTTATGATTTTTTGGCCCCTGTAGCTAAGAACACAAAATACCCTTTCGTTTATTGAAGGTATTTTACACTTTTCTATGACATTTTAATGTTTACTTAAGAAATATCTTATATTAAACACCTTGCATTTATATAACTTTTCATTTAGAAGTGAGGTTTGACACCTAGAGAGTTTTCTTTAAGGACTGAATTGTGAATTCCAAACTGTATATATAGTGCTTGTAGTTGCTGACATTTTTTAAATTAAACAAATTTTATTTTCTGGTTGGGGAGATGTTGTCAATATAGTAAATCTGTGACAGTACGATACCCAAAATTTGGATCCCTAACACCTTGTTAAAGCATGGGGGGATGCAGGCAGTCAGATTCCTAAAGCTCACTGGCTAGTCAGTCTAGTTGACTTGTAAGACATAAGTTCAGTGAAAGACCCTAACTCAAGAGAAAGCTACCACACATCTACCCCTGGCCCCCACACACATATACACAAAGACACTCCACACCACACACTGAAAAAAAAAAAAAAAAAAGAATTTTACTTTTTGTATTGTTTTAAATGTACTATGAGTATTTAACTATCAATAAAGAGTGGTTTATTAATTTTCCTTTTTATAACAGATCTTATTTTGTTTATAGTTAATTTTGTCATCTAAAGATGATGAAATCATTGAATACCAGCAAATGTTGCATAATCTGAGAGAGAAACTTAAAAATGCCCAACTTGATGCTGATAAAAGTAACATTATGGCTCTGAAACAGGTAAACCCTACTAAAGATTTGAAATGCCATGAAATTATGTTAAAATCCAAGCTCTTCTTTTATTAGGGTGTCTAATTGGTGGCTTCCATTACTGAGTATGTAACAAACTTTGAATATTCTCATACATTCCCAAATGGGGGGAGGCAAAATTAGAATCAAGTGTAGAGTGAGAGTTATACTTCAGAATATAATTATTTTACATTTTATATTATTACTATGTATTGCCAGTCTGCAATTATTAAAAACCTGTAAATTTTAAAATACCCTTCTACCTTCTTATTAATGTTTATTATTGTATAGCTTATGCCTAAACTAAGTAAACAGAGTGTGATAATACTGTGTGTGATACCTAAAGGTTTTGCTTTTAGTGAAACAAACTCATTCAGAAAAAGAAACAAGCAAACAAAACTGGACTTTTCTTATGTATGTTTTTTCCAGTTAAAGTGCTAAAGATAGAATATAATTTGAGATATAGCTGAGGAATGAGAACAATAATGAGGAAGTTGTTTCTCAATGGAGTGCAAAAGGCTTATGAGCTAAATTGGATGAAAAAAAGAGCATAGAATACAGACATATAAAATAATAAATACAAGAGTCAGTGGGTGACAAGGAAAAAATACTATGTCCGAAGTTATAAAATCTATAAATATTGAGGCGTTCTAGAATATATTTTTTCCACCTTTACATATTAGCATAATAACAATTGTATAGTGAATTTTGAGGAATATATAAGAAACTTAGTTTCCTGGCTCTGGTAGATGGCCAGGTGGGTAAAGGCACTTGATATCATATCTGACAACCTCAGTTTCGTTCCTGGAACTCATGTGATGGAAAATCAGAACTGACTTTTACAATATGTCACCTAACCTCTACACACCTGCATACACACACATATACACAGACCCATGCACACACACACTCACACACACACACACACACACACACACACACACACAAATAAATAAATGTAATTTTTATTTATTTAAACAACTTTTCAGCTGTTTAAAAGAAACAGTTTGGCCATAAGGAAATATATTCTCTTATTTATTAAAAAAAAATCTGTGTTCATGTTAATGAATATTTAATTGATATTTCAAAATATTTTATAGGGTATCCAGGAACGAGACAGCCAAATTAAGATGCTTACTGAACAAATAGAACAGTATACAAAAGAAATGGAAAAAAATACATTTATTATTGAAGATTTGAAAAATGAACTTCAAAAAGACAAAGGTAATTTAATGTTTTTTAAGTAAATGACTTTCATATATCATTGTGTTTCAAAAGATTGTTTTTATAAAAATAAAATTATGTTAAGCTACTGAAGTATTTTTTAAATTATAAATTTTTAAAAATAAGTATGCAAAATATTAATTACAGTTTGTATTTCTAGCATTTAAACTTGCAATGTATGCTTTTCTATTATCTCCCTCATGATGAAAATTACTCAGAGATTGGAAATAGATTGTCTTTATTTTACATCTTTTATAGTTAACAAAGGTGCTTTAACTGTGAATGCGTTAACATTTGTCAATTATTTTCAGCAGTAATTTTGTGTGTTGGCATTTGAAATAGTTCTACAAAAATCTCTTATTCTATTCTCTAAGTCATACTATTTTGTCTATCACACCAAATCCTCTTAATTTAAGTTTTTGAAATACCAGTATTTCTATAAAACTTTATCATTAAAGTATACTTAGGTGTAGTAGTTCAGATAACTCACAATAAATTCATGGGTACATAATAAGTGCTGAAGATAAAAAAGCACAGGCAGTCATGTACAAATTGTAAGTCTCCTTGGACATAATTGAACAAAATCTTAACGGAAGTAGAGGAGGAGTAAGCAGTATGATTGAAACCAGTGGGAGTGTCTTCAAAATCACTTGCATGAAAGGAGTCAATTAGGTAAATGTTGGTAGCTGGAAGATCTACCAAAAATAGCAGAACAAAAGATAAAAAAAAAAAAATGCTAAAATCCCTGCCATTAAGTCTTATGGTTTATTGTAAAGACTTTGATTTTTTTATTTTAGGTAAAAGAGATGGGAATGCTTTTGTCTTACCTAGGCTAAGTCTGCAATAGACTATAGCAGTTGTAGGGTAGGAAACAGGGAGAGCTGCTAAAAGGCTATGGGAATAACCTAGTAGACAGGGTGTTACACTAACAGTGGCATTAACTGTGGTCAATTTTAGCTGTATTTTGAAGGTGATAGAAGTGGAGTTAGATGGAGGATGTGAGAGATACTCATTAGTACTTTTACTGTGAGTAGGGCAGAGTTAGAGATGATGAGGTACTGTTTGAAATGCAAAATTTGAAATGTCTGTTAGGTGACCAGCTGAAGGTCTTAAGTAGAAACCTGCATATAGATTCTAACCTTCTTGAACACAGTTTAGGCTAAAGATAAAAGTTTGGGGGTAATCTCTACAAAAATTCAGTTTCAAGTGACAAGACTAGTTGAGGTCATCAAGGGAAGGAGTATAGGTTATAAAATAACTCAAAATGGATCTCTGAGACTGCTTCTAATTTGGAAGCTGATGGGATGTAACAAAAGAATCAAAGAAGACTAAAATGAATGTGCAGAGAGATGGAACACCATAAGAATGTATAGTCCTGACAACCGCGTGATAATATCATCTAGGAGAAATAAGCTGTTCATTCCTGGTGGTAGTTCAAGGCACTGAAAATGATCATCAAGTAATGTTTCAATCCAAGGAAAACAAAAAAACAGAGAAAAGACATATAGGAAATCTTTTAGGAGTTTTTTTTTTTTTTTTCTGCAAAAGAATGAAAAATGAGGTAGTCTGGGGAGAAAGAAAGACTTAAAAAGTTTTTAAGTGTAGAAGAAATAATTAATTTTTGTAGATTAATGGTCAGACTCCATTGGTGAAACAGAGGAGAGAATTCTGAAACTTTAGGCTGGCCATATTTCCAGCTGGAAAATCTATTTTACCGTGAATAGTGGTAAAAAAAAAAAAAAAAAAAAAAAAAAGTTGATTATTATTGCCACTAAGTTTCTTTGTCACAGTAATGCATCTTTTGTAAAGTGGGCTTTTACAACCTTTTTTTATAACCCATATTCTTCTAGTTAGAGTAATTGTACTCAACTCTACTTTTAATTTGGTTTTATTAATAAAACCAAAGCAGTACTTTGGTTTTACAAATATAAGACCTAAGACATAAGCTTTTGTACCATACTGCTTCTGTCCCTGTTTGGGAACAATTGATTAATAGGAAAGAATACTTAATTTAGTTCATGGTTTCTTTTTTCATGTTGTAGGTACTTCAAATGTTTTTCAACAGACTCATTATATGAAAATTCACTCAAAAGTGCAAATTTTAGAAGAGAAAACAAAAGAGGCTGAGAAAACAGCAGAGCTGGCTGAGGCGGATGCTATGGAAAAGGATAAAGAATTGGTTGAGGCTCTGAAGAGATTAAAAGATTATGAATCTGTAAGTATTTTTATCTTGTCAAAGAGACTAAAATTATTCTTGACACCCAGGTTGTTTTGTGGCTTTTTTTGTGTTTCATGTAGAAAGTATTCTGTATCTCTCTTGATTTTAAACTATTCAAACTTTCAAGCATTTTATTTATGCCAAGAGAATTTTTTTTCTTTTTAAAAAAGAAAAAATTCATTTTTATTATTTTTCTTTTATGTTTGAGATTATAATTTCATAATTTTTTCCTATTTCCCTACAAACCCTCTGCACATATTCCTCCTTACTCTCATTGCTTCTTTTTTATTATTGTTACATGCATATATGTATATATGTAATATATAATATATATTTTTCTATATCATATATACCTATATATTACATATATACATATGTATATGTAAATATACATATTTACATGGACATATATATTAGTATAAAATATATATTACATATATACGCATATATACTTGGATATATATGTTACATATATATGTCTATATAAATATGTATATATAATATATTTTTATATGTTATATATTTATATATTGTATACATATAGGTTACATATATACATATATATAAAGTCTTAAATATAATTGCTCAGCCTGTATAATGACTTGTATGTATTTATTGGGTATTGGATAACCAGTTGTGTTTTTCACTGGAGAAGATTGTTTTTCCTGCTCAGCATTTATTAATCGTCTTTGTGGAGTTCTTTGTGTAGGGCTGAGGCCTCATGGACTTACCTCTTCACTCTGGCGTATCTTTTGTTGTCGTCCCTGTTTAGCTTGTGTTTTAGGCAGTCATGTTGGTGAGAGTTTATGGCACAGCTTCTGATATTTGCCAGGAGATAAATCTCATAGCAATATCCCTTATTATCTGACTCTTAATATCGTTCTGCTCCCACTTCTGCAGTTATCCCTGAGCCTTACTGGCCTCCACAACTGCATTTTGTTTGGTTTTGGTTTTGGTTTTCAGTAATAAACTCCTCCTGCAAAGAGAAAGGATTATGCTTCTCTGTAGGTGTAAGTACAGATGCTTAGATTATATTGTGGTAGTTGTGAGTTCTACAGTAACCATGACTTCATTAGCACTGAGTAGTTTCCCTTAGGATTACTGAACCATTCTGGTCATTGGGTTTCATAACCAACAGAGGTGGCTAGGGTTGGTAGTTGCTTTTCTACCTTTGTAAGCTTTTGTGATGCCTTCTGGTACTATGTAAGCTAGTCCTCAGGAAAGAGACTTAAAAATCTGTTCCCAGAAGGAGAAAGACAAACACGGTATATACTCACTTATATAGACCTATAAGATATAATAAACATAATGAAATCTATACACCTAAAAAAGATAATCAAGAGAGCGGACATGGGGTAAGATTATCAATCCTCGTTTTGAAAGACAGATGGGATACGCATTGAACATTGACAGGAGTTTACTGAGCGCATTGGAAAGACTCTAACTAGCAGTGTTTTCAAAGCAGACTCATGACCAAACCTCTGGCAGAGTACAGGGAATCATAAGCAAGAAGGGGAGTTAGACTGATGAGGAAAGGATAGGAGCTCCACAAGGACCAAAGATATCTGGGCACAGGGTCTTTTCTGAGACTGACATGCAACCAAGGACCATGTATGAATGTAACCCAGAACCTCTGCTCAGATGTAGCCTGTGGTAGTTCAGTAACCAATTGGTTTCCCATAGTGAGAGGAACAAGGACTATTTCTAACAGGAACTCAATGGCAGGCTCTTTGACCTCCCCACCCCCCAAGGGAGGAGCAGTCCTGTTAGGCCACAGAGGAGAGCTTTGCAGCCAGTCCTGAAGATACCTGATAAAACAGGATCAGATGAATGGGGAGGAGGTCCCCCCTATCAGGGGACTTGGCAAGGGGCAGGGTGGAGATGAGGGAGGGAGGGAGGGACTGGGAGGGAATGAGGGATCAGGACACGGCTGGGATACAGAGTTAATAAAATGTAACTGATAAGAAAAAAATAAAATACAAAAAAAAAAAAAAATCTGTTCCAAATCGGAGTCTCTAGGCCCTGTTTCTGAAATGCATGGTGTCTTTAGTAATTGGGACTTACTTTCTACCTCTTGGGGGCAACCAAAGCAATAGCAATGAGCTGTCTGTTTTGAGTCTCTTAGACAGCCTTGACCTATAACTCAAAAGAAAGCAGCTCTTGTCTGGTGGCGGAGTTTTTGTTAGGTGATCTTTGGCTCTTGGAGGGAGCATTGTCAGCACAGATGAGGAAAGGTTCTTTAAACCATGTGTGTGTTTATACACAGAATTACATTTGATATAGGGTCGTTGCTTTTGTTTTTAGATAAACAGTTGATAGTATGATTTCTTATGGCTTTTTCAGACATCTTTTTTTATTATTTCTTTTATTTTTTCACTTTTTAAAATTTTTATTTTTTCATATTTTAATTACCATTAATTTACTTTGTATCCCAGCTGTAGCCCCATCTCCCTTCCCCTCCCAATCCCACCCTCTCTCCCTCTTCTTTTCCTGTGCCCCTCCCTCAGTCCAATGATAGGGAAGGTCCTCCTCCCCTTCCATCTAAACCCTAGACTATCAGGTATCATCAGCACTGGCTTCATTGTCTTCCTCTGTGGACTGGGTAAGGCTGCTCCCCCCTCAGGTGGAGGTGATTAAAGAGCCAGCCCATGAATTCAAGTCAGAGATGGTCCTTGTTCCTATTATTGGAGACCTTCTTGGACAATGAGCTGCCATGGGCTACATCTGTGCAGGGGTTCTAGCTTATCTCCGTACATGGCCCTTGTTTGGAGTATCAGTCTCAGAAAAGACCCCTGTGCACAGATTTTTTGGTTCTGTTGCTCTTCTTGTAGAGCTCCTGTTCCCTCCAGATATCATTTTTGTTATTTTACCTTCCTTCATCCTCTTTCTGTATTTACCTCCCTTCCAAACCTTTTGATGAAATGTTCTCTTCAGATAAGCAGCTCTGGCAGGTAGCAGGATTAGTCCTTTGTATCTGTGTCCTTTGTGCAAGTATGGACGTGGGATACTGACATGCTTGATGCAATTTTATTGGGAATGGCTTTGGTGCTTCCTATATCTGTATCAACTGAATCTACTTGGACTTTTCAGAATTTAAGATTTGGTTTGTTAGGAAATTAGTTATACATTTTGATTGCTGTGGCTGATTATAACCTTATGTTTTATGTCTGTACTTTTATGTTTATCGCTATGTACTCAGTGTTTCATATGTAATATTCTGAGTCACATTGCCTAAGTGTCAGATGTTCATATTGTACATTCATTAATAGACTTGGTTTATAGATGTACAGTAAAATATACCATTAATATGTACTATTTTTATTTTTATGTATCAGTTCTAAAATAAATCTGCCATATAAAATACAGGTGTAGTTAAATTTATTTAAGCTAGATGGCTATTTTTCAGGGAGTATATGGCTTAGAAGATGCTGTTATTGAAATAAAGAACTGTAAAGCCCAAATTAAAATAAGAGATGGAGAGATTGAAGTGTTGACCAAGGAAATCAATAAACTTGAGATGAAGATTAATGATGTCCTTGATGAAAATGAAGCCCTTAGAGAGCGGGCGGGTAAGCTTTTTTTTTTTTTTTTTAAGACATGTCTTTTTCCTCAACCATAATTTTCAAGTTTTATTTGTTTTCTTTTGGTTTGTCTTTGTCTTTGTAAGGGAAGTAGCCATGTTCCTCAAACCAACCAAAGTCTACATGTTCTGCATGCATGTTCTCCCTTCTTCTCCTGTGATTTGCCTCTTGCCTTTACTTTAGGTTTGTTCATTTACTTCTAAGTAGTTGGAGGGTATTTTTTCCCCCAAATAAATGTTTCTGTAGAAACACATAAACAAAAGTGGAAGTAACTCCGACAGAAGTGGGTTTGGGGCCCTCGTGTTGGAAAAGTTGATGAGGAACTTGGCTTTCATTGGCCTAGTATATCTTCAGTAAGAACTGGTTATTGAAAAGTGAAAGTGCATTGGATTATGATACATACAAGGAGTCAACCTTTTTTGAAACAAGAAACATCTGTATGATTTATTAGTTTACAAACTGATTTTGTTTCAGATGAGGCCAGTTAAAAGTACTTTGTAAACCTATTAAGAATGTATAAATACTTATAAATACACTGCTTACATTTTACTTGAGTATTTTAGGAGTTTTATTTAGTCTAAGATGTAATTTTCAAATATAACTTGGGAATTTAAAATAAGTGGTGAATTACTTCATGCTACTAGTTTACATGATAAGTTATAACTAAAGTGAAAAATCTAATTTGCTTCTTTAAAACGACTATGATTAATGATTTTCTTATACTTGCTGAAAGTTAATTAGTGCTTCTGTAAACTGACAATCTATAAATTTTTTTTCTAAAAGAAAATTAAATGCTTTATATTAATTACTTATTTGTAAAACACAGCTAAGTAGGATTTAAGATTATACTTAAATCAAGTTAGATTTTTGATTAATGACTAGTCGGTTCACTGGATAACTTCTGGTTATCTAGAAAGTGGTCACAAACACTGTTTTCTGTCTTTAACAAGTTTAGCCTTTATTACCAAAATCTAGTTTACAACTATTTAGATTGTCTTGACACCTGCTTTTCACCTCCTAGTTTTAGTAATCAGAAAATGTGATGGAGACAGATTAGGAGACAGGTTAGCTGAGAGGATTAAACTAATAACATCATTAGTATTGATAATGATGGCTGTCTGAGAAGCATTGCTCTAAGCATTATATTTAGCCTGATCTTATGTATTCCTGCCAGACTAAAATAATCAATCAATCAATAAATTTTATCTCTGTACCTAAGATACAAGTTTAAAGTGGACATTGAACCTGGTTCAACACATATTTACTTCATGACAACGGTTATTTTTTAAAAATTTTTCTTTAATTTTTATTTCTTTATTTATTGTAGTTTATTCACCTTGTATCTCAGCTGTAGCCCCCTCCCTTGTTCCCTCCCACTTCCACCCTTCCTCCCTCTTCTCCTCCCATACCCATCCCCAAGTCCACTGATAGGGGAGGTCCTCCTTTTCCCTCTGACCCTAGCCTATCAGGTGTCATCAGGACTGGCTGCATTTTCTTCCTCTGTGGCCTGGTAAGGCTGCTGCCTCCTCAGGGGAGGGTGATCAAAAAGTCAGCCAATGAGTGCATGTCAGAGACAGTCCCTGTTCCCATTACTAGGAACCCACTTGGACACTGAGCTACCATGGGCTATATCTGTGCAGGGGTTCTAGGTTATCTTGATGGATGAATAATGGTCCTTGTTTGGAGTATCAGTCTCAGAAAGACACCTGTGCCCAGATTTTTTGGTTCTATTGTTCTCCTTGTGGAGCTCCTGTCCTCTTCAGGTCTTTCTGTCTCCCCCTTCTTTCATAAGATTCCCTGCACTCTGCCCAAGGTTTGGTTATGAGTCTCAGCATCTGCTTTGATACGCTGCTGTGTAGAGTTTTTCAGAGGGCCTCTGTGGTAGGCTCCTGTCCTCTTAATTGTTTTCTCCCTTTTCCAATGTCCATCCTGTTTGCCTTTCTGAGTGAGGATTGCTCATCTTACCCAGGGTCCTCCTTCTTGCTTAGCTAGGGTTCTTAATTAATGAATTGTAGTACTTTTGCACCATCCCCATATATGTTTGTCAGGGTTTTCACAATTTGTTAACATTTAACTTTCTTTGTAGTATAACTGTTTCGAAATTCTTGTACAAGAAGTCTCTATGTTTTGAATGATGATAATGAATATTATTCGTTACTTGGCGTTCTGTGAAGATTTTGTCATTCATTTGCAAGTTTTTAAGTTTGTGATCATTTGCTTTCTATTTCAGGCCTTGAACCCAAGACAATGATTGATTTAACTGAATTTAGAAACAGTAAACGCTTAAAACAGTACCAGTACAGAGCTGAAAACCAGATTCTCTTGAAAGAGGCAAGTGATGCTCAATTTACTATTTTCTTTTCTAAACTAAGGAGATCTACTAATAATTGATGCTTTGCAGATTGAGAGTCTAGAGGAAGAACGACTTGACTTGAAAAGAAAAATTCGTCAAATGGCTCAAGAAAGAGGAAAAAGGAATGCAGCCTCAGGTATTCCCTGTTCTTCCATGCTTAAAGAGTCATTTGGAAAATGTGTATCTAGATCTGGGGTTTTCTCTATGTTGAGGATGATTTTGCTCTGTTGTCCTGCATGTGGTCCAAGTACTATGAGAAAACAGTATCTTGAAGAAGAGATAACTGGGTATATTTGGGTATGATTCTGAATCTAAAACAGTTAAAGAATTAGAAGTGAAAGAAAAGTAAAGCAAGTATTGGAATTTTGGACTTCTGGAAAATTCAGTGTACAGGCTGTTGATTTTTAGATAGCTCCATTTTGTTTTGACTAATCGTCTGAAAATTGTAATTTTTATAATACTGTATTTCCATGCTTAGAATGGTATTTTGTTTTAAATGCTGTACACTGAAAATTTTTTTATTTGGTTAATATTTTTCATTAAACTTAAATTAACATTCATTTGTTTGTTACTTTACTTTTAGAAGAACAGACTAATCTTCATAACAGCCACGACAGTTCATTTTTGAGACCATATAGAGAGGGTTTCTTTAACTTTTTTAAATTTAAATTTTATTTTGGTTTATATTTGCTTGCTTGCTTCATGTATGTCAGTGCCTATGGAAGTCAGAAAAAAAAAGAAAACAAAACATTGGATTCCCTGGAGCTGGAGTTACATGCAGTTGTGAGCTGCTTGGTGTACCTACTGGGAACTAAGTTTGGGAGTTGTGAAAGAGCATTACACACACTTTAAAAATGACAATATTTTTACATTCTTTTCTCTCCTCTTCTCCCATGTCTCACCCCGTCCCCATCTTGTGTGTGTGTGTGTGTGTGTGTGTGTGTGTGTGTGTGTGTGTGTGTGTGCAGATAAAAATATAAATGCCACCTACGAAATCCCATTTAGTGTTTGTGGTTAGTACTGGCCGCTTGGCACTGGCACCCTAGACAGAGGACTTATCTAAGGGGAAGGTCGTTCTCCCTCTGTCAGCAGATTTTAATTTCCTGTAGCTGTTCTTCTTGTGTTGAGGACCTATGCGATTTTTCCTATCCATGTTAAGATACTAACTATTATACTATTTCAGGTTTTGTTTAAGCAGCTATACCCTTACAATTTAATGGGTGTAACTTCCCTGTCATATACATAGACTCAATTTTTTTCATAGGCTTCCTAGTCCTCTGGCTCTTACAATATTTCTGCTCACTTTTCTGCAATGTTCTGTGAGGCTTAGGTATAACTCTAGTATTGGAACATTTGTCTGGCTTGCACAGAGCCTGTATAAGTCCTAGCATCACAAAAATAAAGAAAAAGATATATATTAAAATAAAAATGTGGCTTTTAAGCTTTTTTATAAGTTTTAAAATGCTTTGTTACTTATTAATGGGTGCTTTTAAATTAACATGGACTAAAATGATAACGATGATACAATTCAAATTAGTCTCTCATTTTATCAATTGCCTACTGAAAATAAGCTAGATCAGAGAGTTTTGTTGGCTACTTCTTGATCAAAGATTTTAAGAACCCTGAGCCTCTCCTTCTTCTTGCATACAGATGTACAAGTAGGCAGAATGCTGTATACAAAATAAATGAATAAAACTTAAAACAAAACAAAACAAAACCTTGATTAAAACTTTATTTTTTGCTTTGGAATAAAAGAGTTATTTTTGTTGGTGTTTCTTATTTGTTAATTCTTTCATATTGTAGGATTAACCATTGACCTGAGCCTAACTGAAAACTTTTCTCAGGAAGATAAAATAGGAGAAAGAAAACTAAGTTTCATGAGCCTCAAAAATATGAATGAAACACAATCAAAGGTAACCAGTAATGCTCTGACAAAAAGAATACAGAAAAATGCTAGCAGTTCATTTTTTTCACTTAATCTCATTTAGTACCTCCTCTTTCTTAGATTGTTAAATAATTTTTACTTACTTAAATAGCTTCGTGGTCTGAAGATTTATTAATGATCTATTACTTACTTTGAATACAGATTAAAAGTTCAGCTAAAATAGAGCTGCTGCATAGGAGACCGTCATTCAGTGTTCTGCGATCAGATCGAAATGAGACAGAGGAAAATAAGACCATACGATCATTATCGAGAATGCTTTCTGGAATTCATCATAGTGTAGAAAGTGGAGTGGATCCTATTGTCTCTTTAACTAGATGTTCCTCATTTATGCAAGTAAAAGATGATAATGCAACTCCAGAAGCTATTACAATAAGGGAGATTTTTAAAGCACCATGTCTTCAATCTTTGAGAAATCTAGAATCATTAGTCAGTAGCTTCAGTAAGGAGAGCAATGAAGAACTAAGTGAGTACTTACGCTCTTTCTCCGATGACTGTCTGAAAAGAGGGTCAGGAAACCATCAAGCTATAGAGAAATCCAGACTCTTACAGAAAAGCAGTTCATCTTTTCAAACATCACCAACAGCTTCAGAGTTAATGCAGAAATTATCATACAGGCAGAACTCTGCAGTGTTTTCTCAACAATCGTATGACCATGAGATGGATAAAGTAACATCAGAAGATGAACAGGTCCATTCTCAAGTAAAGTGTGCTGATCTCAGTTTGAAAGATGATAGAAGGCAAAGTGAATCACCCTCACAAACTGAGATGCTGAAAAGTAAGATCCAAGTTAATCTTTCAGATCCTGTGCCTGTTAATTCACAATGCAAATCATCTCAGATAGATCCCCTTGAAAATCTCATAGAGCAGCTACAGAGAGAGCTAGTATTCCTTAGATCTCAGGTGAGCTTTCTTCCAAATATATTCATGTAATTCCTCTTATTATTTTTACCAGAGTTCTGTAAACAATTCCTATAAGAATTCTTTTTATTTACAAATTAACACTAGTTTATAGCAGATCTGTACTTCTTAAAAATCTATAATTGCAGTATATTTGCTTTTAACTTGTTGACTTCCCTGATTAATATATTAAATGTCTCTTTAGAATGAAACCATAGCACAGGATTTACCGATTCAAGAAAAACAGAGTAGAAATGCAGAAATAAAGCTTGACCGTGAGAGAAGCCAGGCAGAACAGGTAGTGTAATGACAGACCATTAACGACAATGATGTAGTTGGTACTAAGGACAGAAAACTGTCCTGGGGATTGCAGGAGGAATAAGACCATTTCTGTTTTGTCCTCTGGACTTTGTAATTGTGTGCCTTGTTTTCTGTTGTGTTTAGCTTGAATTGGTAAAGCATTGCTTTTACTTTAAACCTATTTATTATGTGATATTTTTATAAAATGTTTTATTCTCTTTGTTCAGAATGAATTTCTTTCAAGAGAACTAATTGAAAAGGATAAAGATTTAGAAAGAAGTAGGACAGTGATTGCTAAATTTCAGAATAAATGTAAGTCACTATTATATCGTCCTTTTCTATATCTATTTTCCATATACTAAAAAATTTAAACCTATGGGATGTTAATACATTAGCATTTTTTTAAAAAAAAAATTAGTTACTTTTATAACATATAGCTCAGTTCCTGTTACTTATCTTTGTAGGTTACATTGCTGTTTTTATTGTCTAAAATATTATGTCCAGTTTTTGATAAAAATGTGTGTCACATATATGCACAAGTAAAGGTGAAGTTATAAAAATTTAAAGACATTTAATATGACAAAGCTATCCAATATTTCTCTCTATTTCTCTCTATGTATATATATATATATATATATATATAAACACACACATATTCACATGACTAAAATAGGTATAGTGTTTAATTCAGCTATTCATGTTCAATTTATAGTTGAATATTTATTTACATTTTTGTTCTCCAATTTTTTTCTATTTGAAATATCTGTCATGTACATAAAATAATATAAGTTGTAGAAAAGATCTGTTCATTCAATGTAAAAAAATGTATAATTACAGTGAAAGAATTAGTTGAAGAAAATAAGCAACTTGAAGAAGGTATGAAAGAAATTTTGCAAGCTATTAAGGACATGCCGAAGGATCCTGGTGTGAAAGGAAGTGAAACATCTTTAATCATCCCAAGTCTTGAAAGACTGGTTAATGTAAGTTGTTTCTATATTACTCTGCCTTCAGCCACCCCATCTTCTGTATTGATTTTATTTTTGAAGCTGTGATAAAATACCCAGTTAAAAAGCAACTTTATAAAAGGGATGAATTATACAGTCCAGGAGAAGCCTGTTATGGCAGGAGAGTGTAGGCAGCAGGTGTCAGCTGCAGCTCATCATATTGCAACCATAGGCTTTCAGAACTAGTGTTTCTACTTTATAGATGCTGAAGTGAGGAGGGAAGAAATCTAAGTTACTCGCTCAGCTAACATGAACCTGGTTTATATTTGATTGCTGATCCTCTTATGACTATCTAGTTGTTTTCTACTTTTCTAATCTATTAATATTTACTAAATGCTATTTATTTTAATGGAGCAACCACTATGTATAATAACATAGGCTAAACTTAAATTTTATAAATATTATTTCATAAGAAATGTAAATAACCTTTTTTATTAGACATGGCAGGGAGCATGGAAAGATGATAAATTATTTAAAGGCATATTTTTCTTGACTATGATTTTACTATTTTTTTTTTGCATTTGTAATATATATTATAAATATACCAGGCTATGGAATCAAAGAATGCAGAAGGAATCTTTGATCCCAGTTTGCATTTGAAAGCCCAAGTTGATCAACTTACAGGAAGGAATGAAGAATTAAGGCAAGAACTCACAGAGTCTCGGAAAGAGGCTATAAATTATTCACAGCAGTTGGTAAAAGCAAACTTAAAGGTAAGAGTTTTATTAAATTTCAGAAAATATTAAGCCTGTGATAGTATGTTCAATAGAAAACTTTTTTAAAGAGGAAAATGTCCTTTGAGATCTTTCAACTCTTAAACCACTTTTTTTTTCTTTTGGAGATTTTGAAAAATGTTTTGATTTATTCTTTGATAATTTCATATAGTATATTTTATCATGTCTTATCCACAGACTCTCTTCTCAGATTTTTCTTAACAACCATACTTCTTGTTATATTTTTCCTCAAACAAAACCCATGGAATCTGATTTGTGATAGCCAGTCATCTAGTGAGCATGGTGCTTGCCCTGCAGTGTGGTAGATATACCCAAGTCTCTCCACTAAAGAAAACTGAGTTTTTCCTTTCTTGGCAGTGACCAATTACAAATAGCTTTTTGGTTAGGGGTGGAATTTTGTGACCACATCCTCTCCTCTGGGCTGGGATTTTGCCAGGCTTGATCTTGTGCTGATATTTTGTGTGCTGTCACAACTGTCTTCGTGAGTTCATATGTGCACATGCCCTGTTGAGTCTGAAAACCGTAGTATCCTTAGAGTCATCCTTAATCTTTCTGCCCGTCTTCTACATGATCCTTGAGCTCTGTTTCAGCTGTACTTCCCAACGTCTCTCACTCTCTACACATTGTTTTTTGAAGATTCGTAAGAAGTTATGTGGAAAAATAAGTTCCTTTTACTATACTGGAGAACCTAAGAGCTCTAAATCTTGTTTTAGGCATTTCTTAGTAAAAAATTAAAGCTTAATTTAATTAATTTTTGTTAAGTTGTTCCCATTTTTAAAAAGATTTGCAATAGAGAAAGCATGAAGTATAACTTGCTGCCTTGTAGTTTTCTGAAATGTGATTATCATTCCTGGATTGTTTCCAGATTGAACATCTTGAGAAAGAAACTGACCTTCTTCGTCAATCTGCAGGATCCAATGTAGTTTATAGAGGTGTAGACTTACCTGATGGGATGGCACCATCTAGTGCCTGTGTCATCAATTCTCAGAATGAATATTTAGTACATCTTTTGCAGGTACTGAACATTTATGTGTTAATGACAGACATTTTTGATAGTATGGTTCTTAATTTAGTCTATAAATTCCTTTGAATTCTCAAAAAATTATTTTATAGTAGATTGTGAGCCAGCTGGACTAATATAAAGAAGTTTATTCCATTTATCTGCCTGTAAAGTATGTTCATGCATTTTGCTCATTTGTGTGTTACTCATTTGAGATATATGATATGTAGAATTATAAGCAATTAATATAAAGTAACATTATATAAATAAGTATTTTGTTTATTGCTGCTTAGAAAAATAAGAGAATGAAATGATAAATTTCTCGGTGCTGTTATTAAAATTGTCTCTTTTTGCGTTAATCACAAGAAAAGCTTGCATGTAAATTTGCCTTTCACCTTTTCCAGTATAGATTGTTAGATCCACTGCGAATTAGGAGGGGTATTCTATTATATTACTTTACCCGTGCTTTTTTTTACTGCTTGCCAGCTGCAGAAGTGGATTAAAAAAAAGCTTGATGAAGTACTTTTTAGATTTTTCTTTGAAGCTTAAAGTCTCTAACATTTCAGGCCCTATAATTGTACTTAAAATAAAACTACTCAAAATCACAAATAAATTTGTGATTATAAGTATCACTGCCTCCGACTGCTAGATTGTCCATTGGCGTGATACTTGAGTTATATTCATCATTTTTTTAAATATTTGGGCATGACATTAATCTTGTTTCTATTTGAATTTGTATGCTACCCAAGTCAGGTAAGGGTGAGTTCAACAACATATCAAAACATTTCTTAAATATGCATCTTATGTCACTATTCTTAGATACAGGAAAATACTAATGATTTTTTTAATATATTATTGGGATACCATCAACAAATAATGTCAGCACGGTATTGTCATGCTTGATCTAAGATTCATGATTTTTATTTTTATTAAAACTGATAGGGACCAGCAAGATTGCTTAGTGTGTAAAAGCACTTGATGCTAGCCCTGACGACCTGTGTTTGTCTTCAGTTACTTGGGCCACGTGGTGGAAGGAGAGAATAGACTCTGCAAGTTTTTGTCTGACTTCCATATGTGCAGTGCATATGCATGTGCATGCAAACCAATAAATAAATTAATTAGTGTAAAAGTCACAGCCTTACCATATTTTAAAAGAAATGGGCTAATTTTGGTAGAGGCACAGAAGTGTATGTTGTCAAAACAGTACATGGCTAAGTAACAGGAGTTGACTATTTAGCTGTTCTGTCTGATAAGCATTTTTGCTTAAGGTGAATTCTGTATCTGCTAGTTTGTGTGCTTACTGCAGCTACCATATTTGAAAAGAATAATTTTGCTTGTTTCATAGAACTTTGTATTGCCTCATTCTTTGTACCTTATATTGAAATGTTGAAAATAATGGAATTTCAATAATCATTTTGGAATCTGAATGTGTACCTTTGGATTCAAAATATAGTCTAATGCTCTTTAAATTCTTATTTATAAACCAAATTTTAGGAACTAGACAATAAAGAAAAGAAGTTAAAGCATTTAGAAGATTCTCTTGAAGATTATAACAGAAAATTTGCAGTAATTCGTCACCAACAAAGTTTATTATATAAAGAATATCTAAGGTATTTATGTTTTGAAAACTTTATAAAGTTGTTATATTGTACTGACAGTCACAAAGCAGAGTATTGATCCTCCTCTATATAACCACTGTCAAGAACATGTTTCAACATGTTTCTAAACTAGTTTATTGATCTTAACCCTCTTTGTTTCTGGGATTGACAGAGTTTAGCCAGATTCCAACATTTGGTAGGTGTGAGGCATTGAGTAAGTTGCTTTGCCTTTGTTGTCTCTGTCTTAGTTTCTTCCTGTGAAATTCTATGATAGTACTTCCACTCCCTAATAGGGTTGTAATGCAGTCTAAGTGAACTTACATCAAAACATTCAAGCTAGTGCATAACACAACTGGACAATATAAATATTAGCTATTGGTAACAACATTCATCACTATCATCACTATACAAATGGGAGCTAACATACCTTCTCATGTTTCTCTCATCAGTTCAACCATAGTATTAGTAGGAATTATACTTCATAACCAAAGGTGATTCTGAATACTTATGGTACTATCTGATTGACAGGAAATCTAGAGGCAGAGGATGGATAAATTTGTATGGATTTTTCTTATCTACTATTATGGTTATAAAATGTTTCCAGGCATTCATAGAACTTAGATTCATGTTCATTAAAGAAGAGTAACATGTCTTCACATATCTAATCAAAATTAAATCATATGTTGAAATGAAAACCATTTGGTGGCAAAAGTAATGATGCCACTAAAATTGGCCCCATGCCATCCATAATTTGAATGCCTTTTCAGTAAGCAACAATGACTTACGTGCCTTTAAAAATGATTTAGATTTCTTTTAATTGATAAGTAAACTTATACTTGTTTTTGTATCCAAAGGGATTTTGATTTGTGTGAAAATAGAATAGATAAATCAACCTGTTTAGTGTGTTTATTAGTCCTCTCATTGTTTTATGGTACAAATACAATTACCTGCTGTTTAACAAGTTTTCAAGTACATAATAACATACTGAAATCATAGTGTAGTTCAATAGATTTCTTGAACCTACTCCTTTTGTTTCAGTCCTTTACATACCTTCAATTAAATCTAAAGGTTTTGTTTGCTTGTTTAAAAATTCTTTTCATACAATACATTTTGATCATGTTTCTCCTCTTCTATGTTCTTCAAGACACATACTCTTTCCTACCCACAAAAATTTATGTTTTTTGTTCTTTCTCTCCCTCTTTAAAAACAACAACAAAAAGGAAGTGGACATAGGGTCCTATTCCTAACCAAGAAGCTGTTTGCATTTGATATCTCTTTAAACTGATTAAAGAGAAAAATCAGTTTTCACTAAATTCAGTAATTCCTAATGTTCTCATTCTAAACATTTTGTGCATATACATTGCTCGTATTTAAGACATAGGCCAGAATTTTGAGATTTGATATTTTTTCAGAATTTGGTTTGGAATGTTAACAATATTTATATTCTAAATCCTTTTTGCTTTATAATAATTTGTTTATAAATTCAATATACTAATTGAATAGTTACTCAATTGACATACATACACTTTTTTTTTAACAAATCAACCTAATCCATTGAGTGCACTATAAAGCTGGCTCTTATGTCATTTTGATATGAAAGCTTTAGTGTTTGAATGACCTTTCAAACAATGCTTTTCTTTTTTTCTGTAAATTTATTATTATTTATTACAGTTTATTCACTTTTTATCCTGGCTGTAGCTCCCTCCCCCATCTCTTCCAGGGTGTCACCTTCCCACTCTCTTCCCCTGCATGTCCCTCCTCTAGTCCACTGATACAGGAGGTCCTCCTCCCCTACTGTCTGACCCTAGCCTATCAGGTCTCATCAGGAGAGATTGTCCCTGCTCCCCTTACTAGAAAACCCCTATGGAGCATGGACTACATCCGAGCAGGGGGGTCAAAGAACCTTTCTCTAATGAAGCTTTAATGCTTGTCGTTTTCTGTTTTTTCTATTTCCTTTTTTGACATAAAATATTGTAGGATTGCCTTGTATATTTCATGTCTGCATAAGGATTGGGGTATTATGTTGTAAATATTTTAAAGTGATAGGTCAGATAAAAGAAAATTTCATAAAATTGTAATACTACCTTTAATTTATTGAAAACGTTGAGTGAAATTTAACTTTTTGCATATCAATTGGTAAATAGTATGTCTTTTGTTCTAAGAAAATTTAAAGCTTCCAGAATCTAAATGCATCCTTTTTGTGGGGAAACATTTTATTCTATTTACTTTATTGTCTTTTTCATTGTTATTACATTTATTATAGTGAAAAGGATATTTGGAAAACAGAATCTGAGACGCTAAAAGAGGAGAAGAAAAAACTTGAGGATCAAGTTCAACAAGATGCTGTGAAAGTAAAAGAGTACAATGTAAGCCTTGAACATCATTCTGCCAAGTACAAACAAGGATACCTTGATTCACTCAGTAATGTCAGTATGATTTTGTTCAGAATTTGCTCAGTGCTCTGCAGGTGGATTCGAATGAAATGAAGAAAATACTTTCAGAAAACAATAGGAAAATTACTGTTTTGCAAGTGAATGAAAAGTCCCTCATACGGCAGTATACAACCTTAGTGGAAATGGAACGGCAGCTTAGAAAAGAAAATGGGAAATACAAGAATGAGTTAATATCAATGGAAGCTGAAGTTACTGAAAAAATTGGAAATTTGCAAAGGTTTAAGGTATTGCTGATTTTTTTTTTTCACCTCCTCAGGAACTTTTGATTCTAAGGGTAATAAGAATCATGCACATATATCACCAGGATTAATGGTTCATGTTTATTGACATTTGCTGTAATTCATTCATCTAATTTTTTTTGTTGGAACACTTAAACTGTAGACATTTCTCTACTAAATATTTTTAGTGTACTTCTCTACAATAGAAAGCTTTTGTTTACAAAACTAACAATTTTAGTGAATATTAGTGAAAACATTGACAGTATTTCTGTTTCCTATGTGCAGACAGTAGTAAGTCTTCTTTAGTTCTAGAATTTGATCATGAATAATGCATTTATTGTATTTGACAGTTATATGTCCTAAATGCCAAATGCAGCAACCTACTTCACTTTGTTTTGCTTTTCTCTCTGCAGAATATTTAATTGATCTATTTTTATTTTCATTTTACCAAATTTAGCTCTAAGGCCTTGGTTTTGTTTCAATTTAAACAGGCTTAGCAAGAATATGTCTTAACTAATAATCTATGTTAGTTCAAAAGATAGCATGTTTGTTTGGATGGCGTTTTGTGGGGAATTGCATTATTTTTTACTGATACCCTTTCTTTTTAAGCAGTTAACTGGTACAATTTTAGCATGATATAAAGGATCATTTTCTACTTTTTTCTAATAATTTTGGCACTCATGTAGGTGCCTGGTACGGGTGTTCATGATTTTCTCACATTCTTAGTGCTTTTACATTCTTTTGGAAGGAGAGCACGTTTCATCATTATCCAGGTCATCTGGTCCTCTCAAAGTATATTTCCCACTGTGAGGGCAGCATGGGTGTTTTGATCTCTCTTTTTCACCACCAGATACAGAAGGCAGAGTGTGTGTGCTCTATTTCTGCGATGAATCATTTATTTCCTTATAAGGCTCTTCTTTGGTTATCATGAGAGGTTCACAGACTTTTAAACAGTAGGCACATTTTACTCAATTGATAACTTTCCATTTTATCCATTAGGAGGCTTTTGATATGTCTCTTAGTTACTTTAGCAAGGATCCATTGGTTTTTGAACTTAGCTTGATTTATTTTCTAGACCTAACTTACACATTGCTTCTACTCAGATATAAAGTAATCCAATTCTTTAAGGAGCCCTGTTTCCTTTTAGAGGGGATAATATTTACATACCCAGAACTGATTATATAATGTCATTGCTTTTCGGATGTCATTGCTGCTAGTCGCTTGCCTTGGACAACATAGGGGATATAATGAATGTTTTTAGAATAGGAGTTCATATTTAACTTTGTAGTTTTATGTTCTTCATTATTTTGCACAGAAAACTGACAGCTTAAAGTAATTATTTTATCAGGTATCATCATATATTAATTAAAAATAACAGCCGTTCCAATGTTTTTTAATATATCCTAAAATTTCTTTACAGTTCTTATGTTCCTTGGACTCTATCTCACCGAGCATGCATTGGCAAAAAATAACATTCTAGTAATTTGAAATGATAATTTTTTTTTTTTGCTTTCAATATTAGGATATTTAAAAGTGAGTTGGAAAATATAAAACATTTATGTTTTGAAAAGATATAGTGTGAAATGTTTAGCTGTTGTGCCTGCCCTGCTACCCAGGTGACAGAATACCCTGCAGATAGCTCTTCTGCAACTGGTACAGAAGCTGGAGTGACTGCCCATTCACACTTGCCTGCACCTTCCCCTGGGAGCTCGTTTTATTCAGACATGATTTAAGGCCACCTGAGACATAGAAATTTTCTTAGTTTTATTCTATTTATTCAGAGTGGAAATGATTAAGTCACTTAAAGAAATAAAAGAAACAGAGGAATATTCAAACAAACAGGTGAAGGAATTGAAGGAAAATACAGTCAGACAGGTGGAGGAAATCAACAGAAAATGGTTCAAGATCTGAAGATAGAATTGGAAAAATTAAAGAAAACATAAACAGAGGAAATCATGGAAAGGGAGAACCTAGGAAAGAAAACAGGAACTACAGAGGTAAGCATAACTAACAGACTACAAGAGATGGAAGAAAGAATCTCATGTGTGGAAGATACAATGGAAGAAATTGATGTATCTGTCAAAGAAGGTATTAAATCTAAAAAATTCCTGACACAAACCATCCAAGAAATACAAGACAGCATAAAAAGACAAAATCTTAGAATAATAGGAATAGAGGAAAAAGAAAATTCCCGTCTCCAAGGCCCAGAAAATATTTTCAACAAAATCATAGAAGAAAATTTCCCCAATTTAAAGGAGAGGCCTATACGCATACAAGAGGCCTACAGAACACCTGATAAATTAGACCAGAAAAGAAAATCCTCCCACCACATAATAATCAAAATAGTAAGTATACAGAACAAAGAACAAGTACTAAAAGCTGCAAGGGAAAAAGGCCAAGTAACATAAAATGGCAAACCCATCAGACCACACCTGATTTTTCAACAGAGACTGTGAAAGACAGAAGGGCCTGGACAGACATCATGCAGACCCTAAGAGAACACAGGCTACTCTACCCAGCAAAACTCTCAGTCATCATAGATGGAGAAAACAAGATATTCAATGACAAAAACAAATTTCAACAATACCTACCCACAAATCCAGCATTACAGAAGATGCTAGAAGGAAAAATACAACCCAAGAAAACTAACTACTGTCAAGAAAACACAGGAAATAAATAACCTCACTACAACAAACAAAGCTATTTAGATATTTTAATTATTCAGTAACAGGAACCAAAAGACGAGTTTGTGTCATTTCAAGAAAGCAGATATAGCTACAATTTAAAGGTATTGTTAGTTCATGCTAATTTTTTCACTTAAACTGCCAAATGTTTAGTTGATTTTAATCTTCTAAATCTTAGAAAAGACATTCAAAGATGATTTCTGTTTATTATACTTTCCCAAATTAAATGTACTTCAGTTTACTGTGACAACTTGTAAAAGTCATTTAAATTTTTAATAAAATTATCTAAATATCTTTTATATGGAAGAATACATGAACAATATATATTTTCAAATGTCTTTAAAATTATTTTGGTTACAACTGAGCTGTCTCCCTTAAAAATTATGTTTTACTAGAAAAAAATGTACAAATTTAACTCAGTTTATTTTATTTTTTTCCAGGAAATGGCCACCTTCAAAATTGCAGCTCTCCAGAAAGTTGTGGATAATAGCGTTTCTTTGTCTGAACTAGAGCTAGCCAACAAACAGTACAATGAACTGACCACTAAGTATAGGGACATGTTGCAGAAAGATAACATGCTTGTTCAAAGAACAAGTAACTTAGAACACTTAGAGGTAGGTGTATATGATCTTTACACCTTCTTATTTTACTTTAAGGGTATCCTTTTCCTAGGGTCTATAGGAATTTTGCTTATTTTCAATGATTAAAATTGGTTTCTATTCATGTAATTGTTGTGGAGATAAGAAAATAGGTATAACCAACTGTGGTTTGTCCTGGATATCAATATATATACCAATATGTAGCATACTGACTATATATAATTACAAATGACTTAATAATGACTTTAGCTAGGTCATCCTCTTACATTTCTTGTTGTATGATTTAGCTGAGCCAACCTTCTTTTATGGCACAAATAGGATATTGCAGTTAAAGGGAAATGCTATTAAGTACCCATTCCTTTCTTTTCTGACCTTTCTCTCACAGTCCCTAGATTCTGTTTCTTATGATGGATTTATTTGACTGTGAATACATTATGAGTGGTATTTCCTTACCACTGGATCTGATCTCTAGTTCTCCATTTGTGTGTGTGTGTGTGTTATAGACATACTAAAAATCAGGGTGGAAATGAAGGAGTTGGCTTAGTTTGTAAAAGTACTTACCTGGCAAGTATTTCAGATCTTTGGACTAATTATGTAAGTTTCTTTCTCTTTTTATAATAAAACACTCCAACCAAAGCAACTTAAAAAAGG